GGTGGCACAAGCCCTTAATCCCAGCACTTGGGAGACAGAGGCAGGTGTGAGATCAGGGCCAGCCTGGTCTACATAGTTCCAGGGCAGCTGAGGCTACAGGGAGACCCTCTCTCAGACCAAAAAAACCAAAAAACCAATGCATCTCCCTTTAGTTCTTGTAAACTCATCAAACCATCTTATTGGTCCTTTTGTTTGTTTGAATAGGTTATCACGTTACCCAGGCTGGCCTCAAACTTGCTATAGCTCAAGAGGAACTTCAACTCCAGATCATCCTGCCTCTAAATGCTGGGGTTACAGGTGTGTGCCTTATAGCAGCTAACCTTGTTAGAATAATGGAACATCACAGGCATTAGGTAAGTGTCACATGAATTGAAAGAGGCCTGTGCCGAAGAAACCAGTATAAGAAGAGCAGGATCACACAAGAGTAGGACCAGTGGCACCATCAGCACTGATACCGAGATCAGAGCCAGACACAACATGGGCCAAGAGCTTCAGAACTTTGCTGTCTCCAGTTTGTGAGTGGGTTTAACAAACAATGGGACTAAGCTACTGGAAACCCAGCATACTCACACATGTGCCTGCAATCCCAGCAGGACTCATGGGGCTAATGCAGGAGGATCTTGAGTTTGGGCTACTGAAAGCAAGAGTTTTTCCTCAAAAACAAAAAACAAAACCAGGAAATGCATTCAAGCATGACTATTAAACACTAGCAACCATAAGGGCCAAGTACAGGCATTTGCTGCCAAGCCTGACAACCTGAATTTGATCCCCAGGTTCCACATGGCAGAGAACTGGCTGTGACTGCCCCTTCCATGCACACATATGTACACACACAGACACATACACAGAGCTACAGACTGGGTTCAAGGCCAACCTAGGCAACTTAGACCCCGTCTCAAAATAAAAGCAAGTGGTATTGTAAAAGGTATCAAACTTTTTGGCTAGAGATATCTCATTAGAGCCCTTGCCTAGTATATGGAAGTTCCCAACTTTAATGCATATTGCCAAAACAACCACCTTTTGAAAAGCTAATGTAACCAAAGTAAGCATAAGTTAACCAGGTAAGGGTTTGCTCCCCACCTCTCTGAGCTCCATAAATCATGCTGACATTGAATGTGTGCACTCACATGAGCGTCCCTCTCCAGCATCTCCCCCATGTAGCTGGAGGGCTATGTCTAAGTAGAAAAGTATTTTTGGATGGGCACAGTAGTGAAAGCCTATTAATCCTAGTATCAGGAAGTTGGGGCAGGAGTTTTAAATTTGAGGTCTGCCTGAACTATTACATAGCAAAACCCTGATTGATTCTGTCTGTCATCTATCTATCTATCTATCTATCTATCTATCTATCTATCTATCTATCTATCTATCAATCATCTATCTATCTATCATCTATCTAATCTAATCTATCTCCGTATCTATCTATATATAAAATCACATACTTTGAGGCCTTAGCCTTTCAATGGCCTGTACTGGGGTTTCCTGGAACACTTCTGAGTAACAAGGATAAGCTGGAAGTCCTCTAGGAACCTTTTCTTCAGTAGATCCAGGTCTGCCCTACAGGTCTTGTTGTTTTTGCAGTACTGGGGACTGAACTTGAGGTCTAGCCAAGTATACCACTGAGCTATACTTCTAACCTTTTACTTTAACTTAAAATTTTTTTTTTAATTATTTTTAAGCCGGGCGTGGTGGTACACGCCTTTAATCCCAGCACTTGGGAGGCAGAGGCAGGCGGATCTCTGTGAGTTCAAGGCCAGCCTGGCCTACATAGTGAATTCCAGGACAGCTGGGGCCACAGGGAGACCCTGTCTCAAAAAGACAAAAAAAATTTTTTTTATTATTTTTATGTATATGCATGTATTGCCTGCGTGTAGGTAAGTGCACCCATGTTGTGCAATATCTGCGGAGGTCAGAAGAGGCTGTCGGAGTTACAGGGTCTTCTGAAAGAACACCAATGTTCTTAACAGCTGAGCCATCTCTCCAGCCCCACCTTTGTTTACTTTTGAGACAGGGTCTTGCAGTTGCCCATGCTGGCCTTGAATCTTAGATTCTCCTGCATCCGCATCCTGAGCAGCTAGGATTGCAGACCCGAGCAACCAAACGTGTTGCTTGCATTGTTTGTAGTTTACTACCTGGACACAGGTATTCAACAGGGATTCAGGGCTCCTACCTGAATCCTCAAAACATTTGGCTTTTGCATGAAAGGCTTCTGAAAGCAGGGAAAGGAAGGACAGAGCAGAGGCACAGAGGATTCAGTTTGAGCCTCTTGAGGCTGGGCTCTTAATCTACAGAGCTGCGTCCTGCACAGTCCGGTGTGTTATGCTGAGATTGCTCAGCCTAGTCACATCTATGGCCTTTGCTCATAATATTTCCTCAAAGTTGCCTTTGGAAAAGGCAGGGATTTTTCTGCTTTTACAGCATCTGCCAGATCTCTCAAGTCTTGGTGCATCGATGTGTGGTACTTGTGGTATGCGGTCCTCGTATGGCACACACTTGGTGCTTTGAATGTTACTCCTTGGCCTTGTGCCTGGTTGTACAGACTGAAGATGAGGGACACTCCCAATTTTCTTACTGGTTGCCAGAGATCTTGACCTTGTGCTAGGGTGTTCCTTATAGGTACAGTTGGCTCCAGATTCTTCAGGAAGAATGAATATAAGGCTGTTTACAGAACAAATGAATTTCATTTTAGAATAACATGGTCTTGCTAGGGAAAAACAGGAGCACCTAGGGACTGCGGGGAGAAAGGCAGCTGAAAGTAGCAAACGTTTTTTTTTTTTTTTTTTGAGTCAGGGTCTCCCTGTTGCACCAGCTGGCCTGGAACAGGCAGGCCTCAATCTCACAGATCCACTTGCCTCTGCCTCCAGGTGCTGGGACTGAAAGTGTGTGCCACCATGCCCAACACCAATAGGTTTTAATACAGGAATGTGATTTGAGAAATATCTGATCATCAGCTTCACCCAAGAATCTTAGCCATGAAACTACCTATGTTTGAGTTAAAATTTAAGATAGAAAACCAAATAAAGCTTATTCTTATGGGGTGTGTCAAAAATTGGGGCTATGGTTTCCAGTAGAAAAGTTTGAGGACTGGGCCTGGTGGAACAGAACTGTAATCCCAGCACCTGGGAGGTGGAGGCAGGATTAGGGTTCAGGATCATCCTCAGCTACATAGTGAATTCCAGGGTGGCTAGGGTATGAGACCTTGTCTCAAAAACACAAACTACCACCACCACCATTGCCATCACCAAACAACTTTTAAAAAAAGGAAAAGGCAGAGGCAGGTGGATCTCTGTGACTTCCAGGCCAGCCTGGTCTACACAGTGAGTTCCAGGACAGCTGGGGTGACAGAGAGACCCCGTCTCAAAAAACAAAAAAGGAGGGCAGGAGGAAGGAAGGGAAGGGAAAATGAAAGGATCTGTACCCTGATTGTCATTACTCCCAAACGTCTAAAAGTTCTTGTCAGCAGTGCCATCATTAACTAGGTAGGCAAGAAAGCCAGCTGTTAGAACTGGCAGACTGTTGGTAGAATTTGTATTGATAGGGAAGATAGCAAAGTCTTGCCAATACAATTGTCCCAGAGTGTGGAGATTGGTTTCAGGGACTACAAGAAGTACCCGAATTGGTAAACGTTCAAGTGCCCTCCATAAAATAATGTGTAGTCACACGTGACTGACATCCATCCTCACTCACACTTTTCTTAGACTCCTAATCATATTAAGTTACATGAACTTACATTAACAAAGTGTAAATGATTTTTATCTTGTGTTATTTGGGGAATAATGATAAGGAATTAAGTCTGTACATGTTCAGTACAAGTGTACCCTAACTTAACAATTTGTTTCCATCTTTTGTTTGTGGATCCAGTTATGGAATTCATGGATTTGAGAGGGTCAAGTGTAAGCATCAGATACGGAATGATAAACCCATTAAAGAGAAAATATGAAGCTAGGTGTGTTGGTCTCTTACCTCTCATTCTGTCAACCTCTTATTCCAGGTACATTATGTGATTTACTCATTCTCCATTATTAAACTAGTGTATTCATGTCCATGCTTTGTGATAATTTCTTCACAGTAGGAAAGTTTTTATGTTAAAAGTTCTAAAATTTTCCAAATATTTGTAAGAATTTATCATCCAACATTTTGTTCCTCAGTCACTGTAAGCCAAGTCAGAATACCTAGCCAGGAAGTTTGAAGGTGACATTTTTTATCAGGATACGCAGGTTCTAGACTCTAAATGGAAAATATGCAAAGACATTTCATCAAGTTTTGACATGGGGGTTACATGAATATTCAGGGCTCCACACTTCTATATAATGCTGCATTTCTTGGTTTTATTTGAAACAGTGCATATTTTTAAGCATTGGTAGGATTTTACACGTCATTTACACAAATTACAAGGTTCTGCTTAAAGTCTTTAAAAAAATTCTAAAAATTCAGCCCAGGTGCAGCACAAGAATATGCAAAACTACTTTACATTATACACACTTTTTATCAAAGGAGATACAAAATTCTGGCTTGTAGTTTTAGACAAATACAAGAAGCTTCAAACTAGACACACAGGATTTAATTCTCAAATATAAGTCTGCACTTTTGTGTTGTATTTCTCTGAGATGTAAATACCAAATTCCTAACAGATTTTACGTTTTCCTTTTCAAAGAAAACTTGACAGTTTTCCAATAGACAAGTCCCTGTCCATTTGTTTATTCCTTTGACCAGTTTTCCCTCCCTCAATGCCAGACTTGTGTCACTTTCTGCTCACATAACCTCTGAGGAAGACCTTGCTAGGTAACTCTTCTGCTGTAAACCTCCTGAAGAGCCACCCACTGATGCAAAGGGTTCTGCTACATTTGCTTTAGTACCATTTAGCCCCTAGAAACCTCTTACACCTTGTGACTAACTGCTCAGCATACAGTTTACTAAATCACCATCAATGTGGTTTCTGTTGGTGACAAACTGGAGGCCTGAAGAATCAAGTTGTCTGAATTTTAAACTTTTTCTAAATAGGACATATCCACTGATTGAGGGACATTATCGATCCGTGTGCATAGATATTCTTTGTCAGCATATTGGAGGCAATATTTGAACTTTTTAAAGTGTTATGAAGAGGAATAGGAAGAGGCCTTACATGCCCTTTTAAGGGATATTGTTTTCATAATATGGGTACCCATTGTTTTCTGACCATCTTCTGATACCCAAATGTATGTAAATATATATGCAAAATTAAAGAACTGCCCATCTTTTACTCAGTTTACAGCCAACTCTTGATTATCTATGAGAAAATAAGTGACAGCAAATTTCATTTTGAAGAGTTTTTGGACAATTTCACTATTTTTTGTACATCCTGTATAGGCTATACAGACCATGTCATAATGAAAGTATTTCTTATTCCCACTGACCACAGGGGGTGGAAGGAAGAGGCACATTCTGCTAGGGCTTTGGGCTGAGCCTAATGGGGGCAGTGGAAGCAAGATGAAACTCTGAGGATAAGGAAGTTCCTCCTCAATCACACTTGCAGGTGCCTTCATTGTTCTTGAAGGTCATGGTAATCACAAAACTAACTGCCAGAGGCATAGTCACTAATTTGTATAGATAATGGAGAGTTGACTATAATCATGTTTTTTGCTTCTCTATGACTTTAGCCCTTTTACATAAAAAAACTCCTAAGAAAGAATAGTATGATAAAAAGATAAAAAAGACTGCCATATGACATCTAGAAGCATTTATTTTATGCAAAAATTTAAATATGATTATGTGTACACAAAAAGTGTGCACATTATCTCTGCTAAACAATGCCAAGGAACATAATGATGCAACAGTTGTCTGCAAAATAAAGGAAAAAAAAAAAGTTCAGATTATCAGACAAAAATGCTTATTTCCCAACAGCACAATGCAACTCTAAACATGTCAAATTTTCCTTACAAAGCTGCCAATGTGACCTACTTAAAAAAAAGAACTTTTTCTTTTACAACAATAATAAAAATCTGGTGACAAACATTATAAAACCAAATCCTGGATAGACTTACTCCCTCAAGACTCCAAATATTCTAACATAATCATAGGAGTAAAAACCATTTTAAAGTGATATGCTTTATGAAACAATATGTACATTTATTGCAAATTATATTAAACTAAAATGGGAGAAACCAAAATATGAAGTGTTTACTACTTGCAAATCAATAATAATTTTAATTATTTTCTCACTCTGATAAAAATCAGAAAAGTAACATTTATAAAATTGCCACGACATCACTTTTCATAGCAGGGAACAGAAATCTGTACATCTCTTTTTTTTTTTTTTGCAGAAAAGTAGACAGGCAGAAAGAATAATACATAAAAGTTTCCAAAAGGAAAACAAAGAAATAGCTCATCTCCTAAAAATTAATTCAGTAGACATTATTTTCCTTGTGTAGCATGGGGATTCCTGGCTCTAGAACGGATGACTTCAGTGTCAGTGTATAAGGTCAGCTTGTTACTTTCTGAAAAATAAAACTGCAGCATGGAAATTAATGGTATATTATGCCTTTAAACTCCAGGTACGCAGGAACTGGAACCAAGTATTAAGCAATTTGCTTAATTATTGACTTTTCATTGGAAAAGTCTAGGGGGAGGGAAAACAGAGTTGCTTTTAGCCTCTCTCAAGAGTTTCTGCTGTACATTTCCATCAAAGGACTGTGGTTGCGTAAAAAGGAAGGAAAAGTTCCTTTCAGTTTTCAAGGCAGAAAGTGTGTATTTGAAGTGAACTTCATTTTCTGTTTAGGGATATATGAATCCAAATTTTGGCAGAACGTGGAAATCTGCTTCTGTTTGGCCTTCATTTTCTCCCTTTGCAAATGAGTTTTCTTTTTACCTTGGGAACAGGAATAGAAAAAAACAAAGTTAGAAGATATGTACAGGATATCAACTACAAGTCTTGTTTTTTTCAAGACTGGCTGGCTCTCCTAGAATGCACTGGCTCTCCTAGAATGCACTATACTGACCAAGCTGGCCTCAAAAACCAGTTTTGTTTCTATAGTTGTTATCTAAAATCTTAAAATACAGTTTTCATTTTCTCACTTGGAACTTTACTGGGTTTACTCAAAGCTACAGACAATAGCTTTCCACAAAAAGCTGTTCTAAAACTGGGCATGATGGTACCTTTAATCCCAGAACTCAGGAGGCAGAGGCAAGCTGATTTGTCAGACTACGGCACCAGCCTGGTCTACATAGTGAGTTCCAGCTGGTGCTATATGGAGACCCTGTCTCAAAAAAGACACCCCCTGCAAAGTGCTATTTGCTTGCATAAACTCTATACAAAACCCCACAAAGTTGAAGAAGTTTTTACTCTACTGTAAGTGCTACTTTCCGATACCCTATTTTTTACAATGATAAAAAGTCATTTATGGGCCAAAAAAGTCATTTTATGGCCAAAAAAAGTCATTTATTTGAAATAAATTAATTTTTTATCAATACTTTCAAAAAATGATAAAGGGGAAAAACTACTGTACATTAGACAGTCAGTATATAAACAGTTCTGATTTTTTTTTTGGGGGGGGCACTTTTTGAGACAGGGTCTCCCTGCAGCCCCAACTTGACCAGGCTGGACCTGAACTCAGAAATCTGCCTGCCTCTGCCTCCCAAGTGCTGGAGTTATACCTGGCCTTATAAAGAATTCTGATTTCTGAAATGTGAAACAAACATACTTAAGTACACTGAACAACAGCAAACCCCATATGATAAAATACCAAAACAAAACAGGAGGAAAATGTAACTTGGGTTTGTTAACAGGTTAGGTAGAATAACACTTCCCTGCAGGGAAGAGTCTGACCCCTGACCACATGGGATGAGGATATGGTCTCCTCTTTGGGAGAAAGAAGTAATCAGTTATCTGACAGGTGAGATGTGGGGATGGAAGAACATGCTCTGGTCAAGATCTGATCTTTTTGCCCTGAAAGGTGCCGGTGACTTCTGGTCTGCTGTGGTTGTTCCAAATTAGGGGCAAGGCATTCATTAGTAGTGCATCTTGCATACATAAAGATGAAATGCTAAAGGGCAAAGCGATTACAAGGATTCTTAGAAACCTAAAGATTAACATGTTGTCCAAGAACTGAGCTGCCTGTTGCCCACAGATCTTCAGTGTTCCTGGTTACTCTCAGGAGACAGATCCTAGAAGAACTGGCAAGATGCCAGTCTGTGTCCCAAAATGAATGGGCATCACTTCCAATCTCTTGACTTCTGAACATTTTCATTACTAGTTTAATAAAAAATTCACTTGTTACTGAAAGAAAATTCATACCAAACCAATATATAAGCCTGGCATGATAGCACAGGCCTGCGCTCCTTATACTCAGGAGGCTGAGGCAAGAGTTTAAGTCCAAACCCAAGCTGGGCTACTTGGTGACCCTGTATCCAACAGTTCCAAGGTCCTTGAAATTTCAAGGTATCACACTGCTAAGTCAAACACATGAATCCAAAGATGAGAAAATTGCCATTGGTTATCATGTAAATATTCTCTTTAAGTTTAGATATTGCCAAGAAGTTTGAGGAGTCTTCACCCAAAGTTTTTTGTTTCTGTTTTTTTTTTGTTGTTGTTGTTTGTTTTTGAGACTATGTAACCTAGGCTGGTCTCAAAATCAGTTCATAGCCAAGGATAATTTTGAAGTTCTGATCCTCCTGCCTCTACCTGCTGGGATTTACACTGGTGTTCCACCACATCTGGTTTACATAGTGTTAGAACTCAAACTCAGAACTCTGTTAATGTGTCACAGTGCACTGTGGAGATCAGAGGACAACTTGAAGTCAGTTTTCTTTCCAGCATGTGAGTTCCAGGGATATAACTAGGGTCCTCAGACGTGGTGACAAGTTTTAATCACTGAGCCATCTTCCTGGTCCCTTGTGATATTAAAAAAATAAATTTTTTATGTGTTTTGTCCTCATGTAGATCAGAATTGCATCACATGCATGCAGTGCCCATGAATGCCAGAAGAGGGCATTGGATTCCCTAGAACTAGTTTTAGGGGGTTGTAAGTCACCATGAGGGTGCTGGGAATTGAACTGGGCTCTAAGAACAGCAAGTGCACTTTTTTTTGGGAGGGGGGGGTAGGGATCATTTGGAGACAGGGTCTCCCTGTAGCCCTAGCTGGCCCTGAACACACAGAGATCCACCTGCCTCTGCGTCCTCAGTACTTGGATTAAAGGTGTGCACCACCATGTCCGGCCTGAACAGCAAGTGCTCCTAACTGTTCAGCCATCTCTCTAGCCCCTTGTTTTTATTTTTTATTTTTTGGTCCCTACACGTAGGGAATACAGGCATACACATAAAAATAGTAAAATTAAAAAACAAAAAATCAGTTGAAAGCTAGTGAGATAGTTCAGTGGGGAAGAGCCTACCTACCATGTATGAAACCATGGGTCCAATCCTGAGTACTAAAAAAACAAAACAGCTAAGAAATAAAAAAAACAAGCATACAAACAAAAACAGCTGAATCTTTTTGGAAAGATTTATCTTTATATGTGTGTGTGTGTGTGTGTGTGTGTGTGTGTGTGTGTGTAACTCAGAGTTCCGGCTGGGCTGTAGTTACAGTTAGACCCTGTCTCAAAACAAACAAACAAACACCAAACCTACTAGATGGGACTCAGGTTCAGTTCTCAGCATCCACATGGCGGCTAACAATCATCCCTAATTCCAGTTTCAGGGGATACAACACTCTCTTCCGGCCTCCACAGTATTTCACACATGTGGTACACTTACATAAATGCAGGCAAAGCACTCATAGGTGTAATAAAATAAATGGAAAAACAAAAAACAAAAAACACCTCTTTTTACCCATTAAGAGAATGAACAAATAGTAGGGTTCTGAATACTCAGTATAAAAATGTTTTAAAACACCCGGGGGTGGTGGCACACGCCTTTAATCCGAGCACTTGGGAGGCAGAGGCAGATGGATCTTTGTGAGTTCGAGGCCAACCTGGTCTACATAGTGAGTTCCGGGACAGCTGGGGCTACAAGGAGACCCTATCTCAAAAAAGACAAAAAAAAACAAAAAAAAAGTTTTAAAACAACCACATAATTTAAAAATTATACCTTCATCTACCAGAGTGTTAGTGGGATATTGAAGTGCTTAACAACATACAAGCCTGATTCACTTGAAGTTCTATCCATGTATAAATGGCCAAATTTCTTTGCTCCTAAGGTAGGGCTAACTTGCTTTTATAAGGGTTATAGCTGGACATATACACAATAACATTTCCTATTATTCCTATTATTATTAAATATATTCCAGGTACTATGCACATGCCTTTTAAACCTAAGTCTAACTTTCACCATGTTTTTCTCCTAGCATTGGGTCTTTCAACTTGGCCCTTTTTGCTAACCTTCAAATTGTGGGATTTTACTTGCATGTACTCTGAAAGGAGTTGAAAATGGGGTTACAGTTGTTGGCTTTAACCTGTGATTGCTTTTTAATTAATTCATTTTTGGGGGCGTGGGGGGTGTCTTTAACCATGTAGATCAGGCTGGCCTTGAACTCACGGTGATCCACCTGCTTCTGCCTCCCCAAATGCTGGGATTAAAGGTGTGTACTACCATGCCAGGCTAAGCTGTGATTATTTTAAATAGTTGATATTTACTTAAAAGATATTAAAACTGTGTACAATCTATTCCACTTTATGAAAAATATCACTTATGAGCTATAATAATAGTTAACATGCAAATGAGTGTTTTCAAAGCATCCATAATAATAGCATAAGGAAGCATAAACAATAACTAGAATTTAACAACATTTCAAAGCACAATTTTTTTTTTTTTTTTTTGGTCTTTTTGACACAGGGTTTCCCTGTACCCCAGCTGCCCTGACTCACTATGTAGAGACCAGGCTGGCCTTGAACTCACAGTGATCCGCCTGCCTCTGCCTCCCAAGTGCTGGGACTAGAGGCATGCACCAGCATGCCCAGCCTTTTAAAAATATCTTTAGTTATTATTATTTTTTACGTGAATGTGTGTATTGCCTGCATGTAGGTAAGTGCACCCATGTCGTGCAACGCCCGGGGAGGACAGAGGAGGCTGTTGGATGCCCTGGGACTGGAGTTACAGACAGTTGTTAGCTGCCATGTGGGTGCTGGGATTCGAACCTGGGTCTTCTGCAAGAACAGCCAGTGTTTTTAACCACTGAGCCATTGCTCCAGCCCCCCAAAGCACAAAATTTTATGATTACAAACTGAGTCATAGTGTCTTGACTTTTTTTGGTCTTTTTGAGACAGGGTGACCCTATAGCCCCAGATGGCCTGGAATTCACTATGTAGACTAGACCAGCCTTGAACTCAGAGATCTGCCTGCTTCTGCCTCCTGAGTGCTAGGAATAAAGGTCTGTGCCACCACACCTGTCATACTGTATTGGTTTAACCCTAGTTTCATCATTTATATAAAAAAAGGAATTGAAAGTTCAATGCCTTTTTTGCCAGCATTCCTTCTTTTTTTGCAAGCTAGTGACAATGACAGTATTTACCCAAGTAGAACTGTTTAAAACTTCAATGGATTAACAAGTACAGAGCTCAGTATTGAGCTTGGCTCACATAAGAATTGTATTAAAATTATTTGTAATCTACAAAATAAAAAATCTGAAATGGGACCTGTATGCCATTCTCTGGGGTAAGTCAATCGTGCTCTCCACCCTCCACGCCTTGACTAGCCCAGCCTCATTCACCCTCCCATCTCCCCCACCCATGTCTCCTCCTAGCCTAGGTTCTGTGCCATTCCTTGTCGGCACCCCAGACACCAGGAGAACCACCACTGCTTCCTGATCCTTTGCATCCAGACCAACCCAGTTCCTTCTGGGGTCCCCAGGAGCCCTTTGGGCCTGGCCCTGCCCTCAC